CCTGGGCGACAGAGTGAAACTCCGTCTCAAAAAAAAAAAAAAAAAAAAAATCCCAATAGAGTAGCTCAAAGAAATAACAAATTAAAAAAAAAAAATTCCTTGACAGTGCAGAGTCAAGAAAAGCTAAGCCAGTGTTGAAGAAGAGCAACACATGTGGGCTTGATCATCAAAACAGTGTAGTATGGGACAAGAATGGGCGGGCCAGTGAAAGAGAACACAGACCCACACATCCATGTAAGTCTTTTTATTTTTATTTTTTGAGATGGAGTCTCACTGTGTCACCCAGGCTGGAGTGCAGTGGCAAAATTTTGGCTCACTGCAGCCTCTGCCTCCCAGGCTCAAGCAATTCTCCTGCCTCAGCCTCCTGAGTAGCTGAGATTACAGGCCCTTGCCGCCACACCTGGCTAATTTTTGTATTTTTGGTAGAGACAGGGTTTCACTGTATTAGCCAGGCTGGTCTCAAACTCCTAACCTCAGGTGATCCAGCTGCCTTGGCCTCCCAAAGTACGGGGATTACAGACGTGAGCCACCGCACCCAGCCGAGAGAAGTACTTTTCAAAACAGTGGCTAGCCATATGAAAATAAGAGTTTAGATTTCCTACCACACACCATGCCTCCATCAGTGTTAGGCACATTAAGGACAAATGTGAAAGACAAAATTTTAAGACTCTTAGAGAAAAAAAGAGTATATTATGCCCTCAGATGGAAAGGACACACATAAAACCTACATACTATAAAAAGTATACTTAGTGTAGTTGAACTTACACATTATACAACTTATTTTCAAATAAACCGTAATTAAAGTTAAAAGGCATGTCTCATGGTAGGAGATATTTACATCTCACATAATCTGCAAAGATCACTAGCCAGAATTCATCAAGAACTCCTCTATAACAATAAGAAAAAGAAATATCCCAATAGAACAACGGGCAATGGATATGAGCCAGAAAACTGCAGAAGAAAGAAAATTGGCCAACAAGAAAAGACGCTCAGTCTTAATGCAACTGGCAAAATGCAGAGACAGATCATCACCAATGGATAATACATAGCAATTAAATGAACTAGAGCTATAAATCCCAAACACAATGTTGAGTGAAAATCACCTATAAGTTGACACCATGTATGCCATGTTTGAAATAGGTGCAGGTGACTTCTTTTATTTTTTTGAGACAGGGTCTCGCTCTGTTGCCCAGGCTGGCGAGCAGTGGTGCCATCATAGCTCACTGCAGTCTCAAACTCCTGGGCTCAAGTGATCCTCCTGCCTCAGTGTCCTGTGTAGTAGGACCACAGGCATGTGCCACCATGTCCTGCTAACTTTTTGATTTTTTGTAGAGATGGGATTTCACCATGTTGCCCAGGCTGGTCTCAAACTCCTTGGCTCAAGCAGTCCTCCCACCTGGGCCTCCCACAGCATGTTACACATTTTAAATAAATACTCATATATATAGTAATGGCAACAAAACCATGCTTGGGAGGGAAACACCAAGTTTTGGATGGCAGTTCCAGCACAGTTGTGTACTAAGCCAGATTACACTAGCTTCCCTGAGCCAATTCTGCACATCTCTTCTTAATTCCATGTTCAGTGATGTTGTGTTAGTAACTTGAAATCTGCTGTGATGGGAGTGTTTATACCACAGAAATCAAAAAACATTATAAATTCCAGATCCTCCCTCCCCTTTCCCCATGCTGGAGAACTGGTTTACCAACACATCAGTGTGCTGTTCCTCACGGAGCGGAATGTGACTGGGGAAGGGGATATAACTGGATTCAATATTGTTTATAATGTCTTTATGCTTCAAACAAATTTTAAAGCAAATAAGGCACAAAGAAAGGAGTAATATGACAGACTCCCATGAGCCACACCCGACTGTCTGACACAATGTCTTTCTGTGCTTTTCTGTATTTTGGAAATCTTCACTGAAAAAAGAAACCTAGTCAGTTGAATTTTTCAGGCCAGCATAATACCATTTCTTTATGCCCTCTTTAATTTAAATTTAAGTCTTGCCTAGTTGGTCACAGTATTATTATATTATTTTGAAAAACTTGGACCTGAACTAACAGAAGCTGAAAGTTATTATTTCAAGCCCCAAGCACAGATTTGCCAGAGAGGTGTATCTTTGAAATTGACACACCTATCGATTGGTTGAACCCGGGAGGCGGAGGTTGCAATGAGCCGAGATCGCACCACTGCACTCCAGCCTGGGTGATACAGTGAAACTGTGCCTCAGAGAAAAAAAAAAAAAGAGAGGGAAAAGAACAGAGACGTAATTCAGGAATGTAAATCTCAGTCACCACCTAACTTCTTCAGATTGGGGTCCACTGCAAAGATCACTTCTTGCTAACTCGTTTGTTCGTTCGTTCATTCATTCATTCGAGATGGAGTCTCACTCTGTCATCCAGGCTGGAGTGCAGTGGCATGATCTCGGCTCACTGCAACCTCCAACTCCTGGGTTCAAGTGATTGTCCTGCTTCAGCCTCCCAAGTAGCTGGGATTACAGGCATGTGCCACAATGCCCGGCTAATTTTTTTTGTATTTTTAGTAGAGATAGGGTTTTGCCATGCTGGCCAGCCTATGATCTGCCCACCTCGGCCTCCCAAAGTGCTGGGATTACAGGTGTAAGCTACCATGTCCGGCCTCATTCTTATCTTTCTTTAAATTAGGAGACACATACAGATTTAAACTCCAGGGATTAGGAGCCCCTCCTGGAGTAAGCCACACTTCATGAACCAGAGAAGCAAGGCTCCACTCTGGCAAGAGGGCACGTGGCTGAATGCCTGGGGTTTGGAGTCAGAGAGGCTCAGATAATGCATATGAAATGAAAATGCACCTAAAGCTCTATGGCCTCTGGTATGGAGCAAGCACTCTATAAATGTGCCTTACCATCAACTCACAGCCAAACCACAGAAGACCTAGGCCAGCGGCCTCCCAGGATCTAGCCCTCTTGCTTCCTTCTGGGTTACAGGGCCAGTAGTGGGCTCTGGAAGGAGAAACTATGCAGGGGCTCACAGGATTTTATCATCAGTGATTGCACAATGAGGGCTGGCTTTCACACCAGCACGTTACTAATGAACATGTAGACTCTGGATTCTCTAATTCAGTTTCTACACCTTCTCTCTATTTTCTTTTTATTTTGTTTATTTTATCTAGACTGTGTATCTCAACCATGGCTGCACATTCCAAACACCTGAAGACCTTTGAAAAATTCTGATGTTCTGGTCCCACCGAGTCAGAATTTCTGAAGGTAGGATCCAGTTTCCCAGATGATTCCAGTGGGTAGCCCAGGTTGAGAAATACTGATGCAAAATACACAAACTGTTTTTCAAAGTCTGCGTCAAATGAAAACAGTTCTGTGGTAACATTGACACTTGCTACAACCTAGGCTTTCAGAATTAAAGGATAAGCATTTCAAGTCAAGCAACCTGTCTCCCAGAGGTTAGGCTTGTGCTAGGTGTTGGGATTCAAGGGTGGCAAAGGAGATGTGAATCCTGCCCTCAAGGAGCTCACATTTACCAACTATAGTAAGCCAAGATGGGTAGGCCTGAGCTTGCGTTTATAGCTGAGTCATAAAATGACAGGACATTGCAGAACTTTATAATGGGATTTCACTATTGCAAAATCAAGAACATCATGGGCTTATATTTTGGTACTTCCTTTGTGCTGGCACTTTAGGTTTATCAGTTCACGGGAGCTTCACCGTAACCATATGAGGGACATTTTCCTATTATTTCCATTCCTTCCTTCAGTACAAGTTTGGATGCCTCCTATGGGCCAGGCACCATTTTAGACACTTAGACAGTAACAAAACAGACTCCTGTCCTTCTGGAGTAAGTGTTTTGTGAGTCAGGGTGGAGAGGAAAGAAACAACAGGCATAGTATAAAAGTTGATCATATAGTATGTTAGAAATTGATGAGTGCCATGAGGAAAAGGACAAGTGGAGAAGGTAAGGTATGTGTGGATACTCAGGGAGCCTCAGCGAGAAGAAGGAGTTGAGTAAACACCTGACATACAGGGGTTAATTTCATTCCCTTTAAAGATTCACCCAACACATACAGGGGGGTTTGCTGGGATGCAAACTCACGTATGTTGTACACTAGCTTCTGTGCTCTTAATCAGACTACTAACTGTGTCTTTCCCTTTATTTTTTTTTTTTTGAGATGGAGTCTTGCTCTGTCACCCTGGCTGGACAGACTGCAGTGGTGCAATCTTGGCTCACTGCAACTTCCACCTCCTGGGTTCAAGCAATTCTCCTGTCTCAGCCTCCCGAGTAGCTGGGATTACAGGTGCGCACCACCATACCTGGCTAATTTTTATATTTTTAGTAGAGATGGGGTTTCACCATATTGGCCAGGCTGGTCTCGAACTCCTAACCTCAAGTGATCTGTCCACCTTGGCCTACCAAAGTGCTGGGATTACAGGTGTCAGCCACCATGTCTGGCCCTAACTTTTCTTTCAAGCAGCATTAATAAAATAACTTATTTATTCACTCTCTGTCTTGTTTACTATTTTAATTTTCTAGCCCAGTGTCTGCTACATACTTACATTTTTAATTAAACTGATTATTTGAAATTATCAATTCAATTGCATTAGTATGTTATGACTTGAAGTATGTATTGTATGTTTACTGTGTCCAGCCCACTCCCCAGGTAGAAGAAAAGTTATAGAAAATCCAGTGTAGCTGGGGATCCTGGAGACTAAGCAAGTACATATTCTTGGATGTCCTGTTCATGTCGTATTGTGGAAGAAAAGATGTCATTGCCCCGCCAGGGCAAATAGGTTTCTTCTCTGAGCCAGGAGGATGGAGAGCGAGAGAATATCGAATACATGTGAGACTCATAAGGAAATAAGGATACTTCTAAGTAGAAAGCTTCGTGACATAATAGCGCACAACAATGTATGAAGCTGAGTCAGGGCTTACAGGTAAAGTTTCTCAGGCTGCATTCATTTGAGAAATGTTCATAATGTTCCTATGGGAGAACGATCTTTTGAATATGAACTTACCTATTGAAGTGGTAGATATCCTGTATGTTTCCAAAAAGGGCTGATCTTTCTTCGGTCCCCAGGGGAAGTTTTGTTTGGTCCCTGATGCAGTCAAGGTAATCCTGTGAGATCAATGAGAAGGATGCCTTAAACACTCCTGTCCTTTCCAAGTCACCTTTAATTCTGCCCAGTGAATCTTTCATATCTGTTTCAAGTAATTATCATACTATTATGCTCATTAACTCTGAGAGTACAAAGTTGCTCTCTTATTACTGGCCCTAATACTCACCTATTTATAGAATGAAGAGTTTTAGCAAAGAGAAAGAGTATAGTATACATTCTATCTACCCCCTAAATATATTAGAGCTTCCCTAGATGGGGCTACAGGGACCACAGTGCCCATAACGTCAGTTTTGCTATAACCACATCATCCACTGTTTCTTCGACTGATTGGTATGATAGAAACATGCTCTAAAATTCATATAGGGAAAAGCCAGAAATAAAAATTCTGAACTGACAGAATTGTTTTAAACATAACCCTTAAGTCACAAAACTATCTGTTGTTAAACTATAGAACCAAATTCTTTTTCAAATACCAACTTATTTTTTTAAGTGAAAAAAATAAGCATATAACTTACTTATGCTCTCTACTATGCTGTAATGAGCCACTAAAAACTCTCAATTGATTTTGTATGTTTTAACGTAGAAACAGCTCCCAGGCAGATCTGCTGTGGATTCAGACCCACAGTGGGTTAAACTGACATGGCTTAGAAGAGATGTGAACTGCTGAGAAAGAGGAAGGCTGCTTTCTGCCCCGTGTGTGCTAAAGAGTTCATAACTGAGTGTTCCCCTTTCCCTAGCAAGACTTGAAAAAGGATTCTGTAGGAAGCAGGAACACAATAAAGAAAAAAGTGAAAACAGCTGAAATAACGTAAAATAAAAAATAAATACAGTCCTTGCCCTAGGCTGAACGATGAAGTATGGCTCCCTCCCAAATGCAACATGGCGATCTGTGGCATTTAGAGGAAGTAACTCTGTGAAAAGTCAAGCAGACCATGAAAATCCCAGCACCAGAGCCGCATTCCAATGTCCAACAGCAAACACTGTTGTGTTTAGATGCAGCTAGAGAAAGGAGAAGCTGAAATATAAGAACCATTAGATAATTGTTTCTTATACCTTTTATTAATCCACCTTCATTCTCTTATGTTCTTTAGGTTCCTCCAATGCAAAATAGGCAGGGCTTTCATCATTAACTTTCTCAAACAGCACATTTCACAGTTTGCATCAACTTAGGTTTCATTCTAGTTCTTTCATACTAAAATCACTGTCACGCATAAACCAATGTTCATAAACTTTTTTTCAAAACAAGCTCTGTGGTAACAACTTTTCTTCTTAAGAAAGTAGTCACCGGCCGGGCGCGGTGGCTCAAGCCTGTAATCCCAGCACTTTGGGAGGCCGAGACGGGCGGATCACGAGGTCAGGAGATCAAGACCATCCTGGCGAATACGGTGAAACCCCGTCTGTACTAAAAAATACAAAAAACTAGCCGGGCGAGGTGGCGGGGGCCTGTAGTCCCAGCTACTCGGGAGGCTGAGGCAGGAGAATGGCATAAACCCGGGAGGTGGAGCTTGCAGTGAGCTGAGATCCGGCCACTGCACTCCAGCCTGGGCGACAGAGCGAGAGCAAGACTCTGTCTCAAAAAAAAAAAAAAAAAAAGAAAAGAAAAAAAGAAAGTAGTCACCTCAATAAGAAAGTAGATTCAAAAGATTTAAAAGTAGTTGGCATTAAAATCCCCAAATAGCTTGGCCTATTCTCCTTACTGTTTTTTTGTTTTTGTTTTTGAGACGGAATCTTGCTCTGTTGCCAGGCTGGAGTGCAGTGGCACAATCTTGGCTCACTGCAACCTCTGCCTCCTGGGTTCGAGCAATTCTCCTGCCTCAGCCTCCCAAGTAGCTGGCACTACAGGCATGCACCACCACGCCCAGCTAATTTTTGTGTTTTTGATAGCAACAGGGTTTCACCTTGTTGGCCAGGATGGTCTCGATCTCTTGACCTCTTGATCCGCCCACCTCGGCCTCCCAAAGTGCTGGGATTACAGGCATGAGCCACCACGCCTGGCCCTCTCCTTACTGTTATAAATGGAACAATCATAAGAGCTTGAGTACCTGCATAGGACAGGCCCAAAAAAGACCCAAAAAGAAAAACAAATGGAGGCCAGAATTGAAAGAATGGTACATTTTGAACAATATATAAACCCTACACTCCCTCAAAACAAATATATTCATCGATATTTCTGTTAAATTACACATGGTCCAAAAGGATGGACTAATACTCAACGTGCAGCGACTGTTTGTATTTAATAGCAGCTTAAGAGTTCGCTGGACATTTTGGAGGGCATATTGTACACAAAATTAAGAAAGTAAAACAGAAGGATGTAGATAGGCATGAGCCACACCAGCATGGCAGGAGGAGGGGCGGGGCAGAGGTGGCGGACGCAAGCCACATTCACCTGGCTGAATTCAGACGCTCCGCAGTGGGGCTTAAAAAGAGAATGAACAATCCTTTCTCTTACTTCAAGTGTTAAGCTTGCTCATTTGCAGAAACCTGATACTAAATTCTTCATGTGAGAGAAAGATTGAGTTAAGGGGCTTAAAGAATTTCATCTGGGGTTACAGACAAAGAACCGTGGCCTGCATCCAACAACCGATGGCCCATCGCCAGCTCAAAGAGTTTCAAAAACCTCAGAGTCCATGACAGAGAAACTAAATTTTAAAAGTTGCTTGTTTTCAGAAATTACTGAGAAAACAGATCGTGAGGAGTCCACATTTTTGTAGATGACTCTAGAAAACAGATCAAAGTTGTATGGTCATAACTAGTTCCCCCCACTGATCATAAGCACATCTTTTAAATATAATACTTTAACCCTAGACTAGTTCCTGAAAACTATGGCAGCATGCCCTGTATTCGCAGCTGTAATCATCTATAGCCAAAATGAGTGGTTTGAAGCTTGGTGATAATAACAGTTCATTCTGCGCCCGAAATGATAGAGTAAGGACACCAACGAAATTTATTAGAGCCTGTCATGCTGCTTATTAATTTTATTGGCTTGATGTCAGCACCTATGGCTACCCTACTGTTAACAATTATGAAGGATCAATTTAAAACTTTTGTACTGAAAACAATTATTCTCCAAGAGGATCAAAGAATTTACTTTGGTGAGGGAAGGAGCAGAGAGTACACACAAAAAAGGGCTTTTCACCATTTGAATGATTTTCTGTGATCTAAAATTTCTCCTATTTATTTTCTAATCAGTTTATGTCCTTAAGATCTCTACCATTATAAGATTTGCACCCAAGCATCCTCCACTAATTAACTTTCTCATTCCTTGTAATATCTGTTATTGAAAATATCCAAGTAGATATCCAAGTAGATCTGACTTGGTCCTATTCAAAGTATGGGAAGTGGGCAGGAGCCAATTTGCAAACTGTTTGCTGCTGATCTAGAAGGAGATAAGTACAGACATCAAGTAAGCATGCAGAAACTTTTTACAGTAGTTTACAGAATGATTTAATATCAACCTAATAATAAATTTGTGCTTGTACTTTGTACATCTTATTCTTCTTCTAACTTTTCTGGTATTCTTTTTTAAATTGTATTTTGCAAAAGAATCAGTGTGTGATCGATGGAAAGAAAACACACACACTTGCCCCTCACCATGAATAGTTTGAGAAGCTCTGATCTACATAACCATTCAGCAGGGACATGCTATAGAAAGAAGAACTGAGACAGAAGGCAAATTCAGCGCCCTTGGGAGTTTACCTTCTTTTTTTTTTTTTCTTTTTTTTTTTTTGAGACGGAGTCTCGCTCTGTCGCCCAGGCTGGAGTGCAGTGGCCGGATCTCAGCTCACTGCAAGCTCCGCCTCCTGGGTTCCCGCCATTCTCCTGCCTCAGCCTCCCGAGTAGCTGGGACTACAGGCGCCCGCCACCTCGCCCGGCTAGTTTTTTGTATTTTTTAGTTCACCGTGTTAGCCAGGATGGTCTCGATCTCCTGACCTCGTGATCCGCCCGTCTCGGCCTCCCAAAGTGCTGGGATTCCAGGCTTGAGCCACCGCGCCCGGCTGGGAGTTTACCTTATTTCTATGAGATGCCCAGAAATAGGTTAGTTTATGGTTCCTCCACTTCCCTTCTTCCTCTGATATCACATTACAGTTTTTTTTTTTTTTTTTTTTTTTTGTGAGACGGAGTCTCGCTCTGTCGCCCAAGCTGGAATGCAGTGGCACAATCTTGGCTCGCTACGACCTCCACCTCCCAAGTTCAAGCTATTCTCCTGCCTCAGCCCCCTCGAGTAGCTGGGATTACAGGCGTGCGCCATCACGCCCAGCTAATTGTATTTTTAGTAGAGACGGGGTTTCGCCATGTGGGCTAGGCCGGTCTCAAACTCCTGACCTCAGGTGATCCACCTGCCTTGGCCTCCCAAAGTGCTGAGATTACAGGTGTGGGCCACCGCGCCCAGCCCTGAGAAATAATCTTTTTTCATTTCTCCAACCCCTCTACCTTTTCTAGAAAGTAGTCTGTTTATCCAAAAACTTGCCTTTCAAATTTCATGTATTACATTGGGATGGCTCTGAAACTAGAATAACTTACATGTGTATAGTAATTTACAGTTTAAAAGCACATTAACATTCATTTATACAAACCTTCCTCCCATCTTTTTGTTGCGAGAATTTAAGAACGTGTGCCAAGCGCTGTTTTACAAGTTAGGAATTAAAAAAAAAAATGAATAAAACATGATCCCTTCCCCCAGCAAGCTCCCTGTCTAGTTGAAGAGCCAAGTGTAAACAAATAAATAGAATACAGTGTTTTGGCAGCAAGACTGATAAATATTCAGTTCACAAGAGAGGGCAGGAAAGGCAGAAGTGGTCAGTTCCAGGGAGGGGAGAGGCTTCATAGGGAAGGTGAGGGTGCAGCTGAATCTTGAAGGATGAAGTTTCAATACAGTGAAAGGAGGAAGGAGACAATATCCAGGAGGCCAGAAATGGGTAAACAAAGGCACAGGGTAACAAAAAGGGCACTAAAAGGAGTTGAAAAGGGCTATATTTCAAGCCATCCAGATGTCAGGGTT